ATGGTTTTGAGAAACTGGCGTAATATTAAATGCAGAACATGCTATTCCAAGGGTTTGTTTGAAACTTTACCATAATAATTCTGTCATGTTGAGGACTGCCAAGTGGTAAATCTAGCTCATTTTGGGGTTTAGTAAGAGATTCAGATGAAAGTTTAAAATGAGGTCAAGAGGAGCATCTGGTTCCAGGTCTGTATTTGTTCAGTCTGGGTGAGTTTGTCAAGGAATGACTGTTAATTACGTAACATCTGGGTTTTGGTGTTTTGTTGTTGGTTTTTTTTAATTGGGGGGGGGGACGGGGGATGTTGTTTTCCCCCATCTTGGGCTGTATCCAAATCACAGGGTAAAATAAATTCTGCTCATGTCCAGCCATTTAGCAGTGGTTGAGAACTGGATATTCTGAGCATCTTCTCTCCTCCCTCCTATAATCTCTTATTCTTGAAATTCAGATTACAAATATCTGTATTTAAAGAAAAAAAATAATTTGAAGCCATTTCTAGTTATGAAGATGACCTCTGACCTATAGCAAAAGAAACAAGACTGTAAAGACAAGCAATGCAGACCAGTATGTATCTTTGGCAGATTTGCCTGGGATGTTTTATGAAGTTTCAGTTTTTTTCTTTAGTCACAGGCCAGTAGGGAGTTTTGCTTCACTGCACAAACACTTCTTGCACCTTTTTAGTTCAACTTTTGAAGTAGACACCCTTGAAAAAGGTATGCGTGTAATATATATATAAAAGAAAAAAATCATAATTTTCTGACTTTGAATATCTGTTTTAATATCCTTATATACTGTTAAGTTAAGGCTGACACAAAGGTTTTCTGTTACTGTCATTGTTTTAATGTTACATTGTTCGCTGTTTTTTGACATATTGTACCAATGCCTTAGGGAAATTAGCCCTAAAGCCAGAGCTTTTAGAAATGTAATTATTTTTACTTTAAAAGAAAAAATTATAATGCCTATAAAACTACTATTTTTATTAGCTTTATTTTCTCCCACACACTTTCCCTACTTTTTGCACCCTCTATTACAAGGTGTCCACCATGAATGGAAATGTTGGTACTGTGGCAGCCCCTCTGCAGAGCACCTTGACTAGATTATTATTAAAGCAGCCCGCTTTAGATTCCTTCACCTTTGGTCCCGTTGCTCCGTGTGGCTTGTAGTGCAGTGATAAGCCCACCCCCTCCTCATTCAAAAATTCAGTGTGGAGGTACTGCTTCGCCTAATGTGCTAAAGCACAAATCAAAATATACGTGACATTATTTGGAAGATTTAGTGGCAACTCATGTACTAGCATGTTTTTGTCTTTAAAACATAAAGAAAACAGGTCAATTATATCCACTATAGTTTGGTGTTTAAAAAAAAATATCTAACAAGTACAAGTAGATTAAGTGGCTGGGGAAAAAACCAAAAATCCTATTCATGTATTTTTCCGAAGAGACCGTTGCTGCTTTTGGATGGGGTTGGTTGGTTGGGGGAGGAAATGATTGCAGTTTGCTTGGCAGTAAGGCAAAAAATAAGCAAGCAAATGAACAAAAAACCCAAACCCACCCATATTTATCCAAAGTCTGATTTCTCATAATTACCAATTCAAGTTCTAGTCCAGTTGAACACTTAGCACTTAAAGTGTCGATACTGACTGATTTCATGACCTTCAGCTACTGGATTTTAACTTACATTTTACTGGGATCAAAGTCAAGCGATGCTAAAAGTCAAGGTTTTGAAATTGGTGAAGGAAGAAATGCATTAGTGTGGCATTAGGTGCCCATCATACAGAATTACCAAACAATTCAAAGAAAAGTCAAAAGCTTTACAGACTAGCTTAGACGTGTTAATGTCTGCGTACTGCTGCAGTGTACTTGGCAGAGTCAATGGTACTGATTATCTTGCTGCTGCCACGTTCTTGAAGTTGCCTGTGCATTAAGCTCAAAGAAGAAGAAAAAAAATATGCAGTATTGTTAAAGAACAAAATTAAAACTATGTAATGAATAATATATTCAGTACAATAAAGTTATCAAACATTCAGGATTTTAGATAAAATAATACTTGTGCAGTATTAATGTTGCTGTTTATTTTAGTAAATACATTGCCTACAGTTAAGAATCCATTGTTTTAATCTCTTAAGTTTGGCAACAGTTGTATGGATAAAGGTTTTATCTGGTATCAAAGAAGCCAGAATTGTTAGAAACAGAATGTCTGCTCTTCTCTTCTTTTTGTATCAATAATCATACCGCATTCTTGTTTTCAGTGCAGTGCTGCATTTTCTCACAAGCTCCTTCTAAAGACATCTGAGCTTATACAATCAAGTAGTCTTACATGCGTGTTTTTCCTTTTAAAGATGAGGGAGCTGTTGTGCTCAGATTAGATTTCCACATTGACCCACCTGTGTCTCTCTGAAAGTACCTGGACACCAGGTATTTTCATTTTATATTCACCATGTTTTTTCTATAAACAGAAGCACTGTGCCATTTACTTAAATGAAGGACAGACGGTGAGACTTGAGGGTCTAAATCTGGTGAGGTACTAAGTCAATTAAGTTATGGAAGTCACTAGGAAGCCTTCTAGAAGGACCACGCAGCATGTGATAAAAGCAAGGCCTTTTCTTTGAAGCTCACCAGCTATGTTCCTTGATTATCCAGAGAAATAGTTGCTGTTTTATTAAAAAGCCTCACCCTGGGGCTGAGCATGCTCACTCTACAAAGCTTCAGGTCTGCTGTCAGGCAATTAAACAAACGAGTTGTAGGAATGAAAACTGCATCCCTTCTGCCTGTCACAGCACTGCCAAATACATCAGAGGAAAATCTCAAGAATAATCTCTTAAAGAGTTGTTTCTTTTCCTTTTTCAAGCACTGCAGTAGAATGTATTTTCCATGTCTGTTTCTTCGGTGGTTGCTACCTACTAAACCAAGTCTTGTCGGTGAAGGAGAAATGTCACTGTCACGTGAGAATGTTTCCCAAGTGATGAAAGTTGGTAAATGCTGCAGCATTACTTTTTCAGATGCCGTTGGGTTTTTGAGGACTCTTAAACAATTGTGGATTTTAAAAAAAAAAAAAAAACCACAAACAAACCAGAAGAGAGCTTATACATTTTCTCCTAGCAAACCCTGCAATGGAAAAAAATGTTAGTTACCGAGTCTCCGGTGTTGCTGAACATTGCATAATGCTCCATTCTATTGTCTTCCAGATTTCTTGGAAATATTTGTGCACTGTATTGGGATCAGCTGAGCCCCTTATCCACTCATGCAATGGGAGGATCTGATCCCATACTGTTTATTCAGGCAATATCCTAGCTGAAATCTATGAGAATTTCACGTATGTCAAGAGTAGAGTAATATCCAGAATGAAAGTTCTAGTGCTCCTATTTTTGTGGATTACTTATTCCTCCTTAGGGGAGTGAACTGCAGTGGCATGAGTGTTTTAATGTTAGCTATGACAACAATAAAGGTGCACTGGGGACAGATAGTATTATCAATACAAATTTAACTTAAAGATGACAAATTCACTACTGGTGATGCAAAAGCTTGTGATGTTTTATTAACTTTGCCGGGGAAGTGTGAATAGTTGCATGTGACTTGCTGTGACCAGAGCCTTTAAGTATTTTCATGTGAAAGCAATTACAGCCCAAAGTAATTACTAATGCTCCTCAGCTGTCATCTGATCACTCTTGTCTCCTACTAACCTGTAACACTTCAGTCTTGGGCAGTAGGGCAGCCTAATTTCCAATGCAGATGCAGAGATTTCTAGGGGAGGGAAAGATGTTCCGGATATTGTAAATGAAATATTGTTATGTTTTATACATGACATTCAGTAATGTCTGCTTAGGATGTGTTTATAAAGACAGAAATTAATCATTTCATGTTCTTGAGTGGATAACCCAGGGGATGGAGGAGTTACGCTATGTACAATTAATGTTTATGATCATACAAAGCATGTTGATTATAAGAATAATGTGCATAGGAATTCCTTTAAAAGTTTTGTGCAATAAACTATTTTTGGTAAAGGGCTCCACGTTGTTTCTACTTTTAAAGAGAAACTAGCATTATCTTCTCTTTGGTTTTGGACAGTAATTTTTACGTTTAGGATTCCGAACATGCTGTATAGCCACCTTTAAGGAAGAAAAAACCAACTTATTTTGAAAGACTACGTTATTGTGTATTGGTTTTTCACTGATTTTTAACACATCTACAACACATTGATTGTCCTTGTATTTCCATTACATTTCCTTTTTTCAGTTTGCTGAACACGTCAGGGAAGAAATGTAATGAGTGTATCTCCCTTGGCCCGAATTTGCCAACATCCGAAGTTTTGAGTGTACAAAATGTACACAATGCAGAAATGTCATCTTGATTCTAAATTAGCCAATTGCAGTGATGAGGAAATAAATGACTGTACCTTGCTTGTCACATAAAACAGTGCGAGTTAAAGGGATGTCGTCAACTGCTTCTCGAAGGCCTGCCATTTTGTCTCATCATTTAAACCAGCAACTGACCGGCTTGCGTATAGTACAAGTAGCTGTACCCGTAAGGTAGTGATGTCATTACACCTGATGGGATGACTAGTTTAGATCTGTGAACGGACTTGTTTCCTTCTACTGCGCTAGAGGCTTCCTTCTTCATGGTCTTCCATCTCTGCAGGCTTATCCGAGACTACTGCAGTGGTTTGAGATTAATGCTTAAGACTGACCCTTCCTTTTTAAAGAGTACTTTCTTTCAAATCGCTTGCGCGTCGTGTCTTTGCAAGCACCGAGGCTGCTGCTTGGAGGACAACCGAGTGTAGTTCCAGCTCCCGCCTGCCTGGTCCCGGTGCCCGCTTCTGAAGCAGGACGGGGCAAGACCCACGCTGCTGACAGGCGAAGCTCCATCTTGCGTTCTCTCGAAGCAGCTCACGGCCCGGTGACCTCGGGTTTCTGAGGCTTCTTCCGCCCTGCCCTGGCAGCCGCTCAGCGCCGGCCTGACGGCAGCCCTTCCCCCCCGCCCCGCACGTTACCTGACAACTGACATCCGGGAACCATAACCCAGAATAAAACGCGGCCGCTGTAACGGTAAGTCGTTAGGAGGCGGCGGACGC